TGCCGTGGCTGCAGCAGCTGCAGCAGCTTCTTGCTGCTGCTGGAGCCCCAGGGACAGCTGCAGCGCCTGCTGCAGAGGTCAAACAGCAGCAGAGCAACGGCTACCTTGGTGCAGCAGCTGCAGCGCCCGGGGCTCGGGCAGCAGAGGCAGCCGCAGACGCTGCTGCAGCAAAAAAGCCAGCAGCAGATACTGCTGTTACAACAGAGCCAGCAGCCGACACTGCTGCTGCAACAGAGCCAGCAGCAGCAACAGAAGCAGCAGCAGCAACAGCAGCAGCAGAAGCGCCTGTGGGCTACCACGTGGTAATTGTTGGGGGCGGCGTCGCCGGGCTTGCAGCAGCAGCAGTGCTGCGGCTCTTTGGGGTGTCTGTGCTAATTGTGGAGGCAGGGCAGCAGCTGGGGGGCCGCGTGCGCACTGCTGCAATGGAGACCTTAGCAGCAGCAGGGACGCAGCAGCAGCAGCAGCATGACCTCAAGCAACTGATGCTGCCGCCCAATCGCATGAAGACAAGCGCCGCAAAAACCAGAGAGCCCCGCTTCTGGAAGTATGTGATGCCTACAAGCCCGAAGCAGCAGGCCGTAGCAGCAGCAGCAGCAGCAGCAGGAGCAGCAGAGGAGGCGGGAGGTAGACGCACACGCTCGCAAAAACGAGCGGCGAGAGCAGCAGCAGCAACAGCAGCAGCAGCAGTAACGGCAGCAGCACCAAACGCAGCAAAGAAACTTGCTCGAGGCCCGGTCGAGCCCGCGTGCTCCCGGTCCGCATCTTCTGCTGCTGCTACTGCTAGTGCTGCTGCTGCTGCGGCGGCAAAGAGTGAGAAGCAGGGGACAGCGACAGCTGCTGGTGCAGCAAAAACAGAGGCACCGGCCGCAGAGACTGCTGCACCAGCAACTGAGGAAGCAGCAGCAGCAACGCCAGCCAGTGGGAGCCCAGCAGCAGCACCTGCAGCGTCAGAAGCAGCTGCAGGACTCGATTTGGTAGCAGCCACAAAGTGCAGCAGCAGCAGCAACAGCGCATTGCGGATGTGCATTGACTTGGGCGCCAATTGGCTCATGAGGGACCGCAGCAGCCCGCAGTTTGTCTGGCGTTTTGCTGCGCGGCTGGGTGTGCCTTCTGTGGGTTTTTGGGGCAACTGGAGACACCGCTTCAACTGCAGCAGCCGGAGCAGCAGCAGCAGCAAACGCAGCAGCAGACGCAGCAGCAGCCTCCGCAAAGACGTCCGCGGCCGCCCCCAAGAAGCGGGTGCAGCTTCACCAACCACTCTCGCTGCAGCACCCGCGCCCTCGGCTGCTGCACCAGCAGCAGCAGCAGCAGCAGCGCCGCCAGCAGCAGCACCAGCAGCAGCACCTGCAGCAGCAGCAGCGGGGCCGGATGGGGACAGCAACAGCGAAGGCGCAGCAAGCGGGGTGGAGGGCGGCGGGGGCGGCTGGGAGCCTCTGGTGCATGCAGCACAATGGCGAGATGATATGGGCCAAATAATTCCAGCAGCAAGAATTGCGTTTCTTAAGGACTTGCAAGATGCTGCTCTCGTTGCTGCTACCATGACCCAAGCTGCCAGAGACAGAGCCCTGAGAAGGGCCCCCGGCACCCACGTAAGGCTCAAGCAACAGCAACAGCAGCAGCTTTGTCAGCAGCAGCCAGGGTGGGAGCAACAGAGCCAGCAGCGGCTAAAGGGCGAAGGCAGCAGCAGCACAGGCAAAGCTGCTGCTGCTGCTGCTGCTGCTCATGGTGAAAGCCCGCCAGCGCGTGATGATGCGTCAGAGGCCTCAGCAACTCCATCGACTACCGCAACTGTCGCAGCAGCGTCAGCATCAGACGCATTAGCAGCAGCAGCAGCAGCCTCACCAAGAGCCGCTGCAGCAACAGCACCAGCAACAGAACCAGCAGCAGAAGCAGCAGTTGCTGCTAAACCGCGAAGTCTAGGGTCGGCACTGCGCGACGCTGTTCGCTTTATTGTTAAAGAGCAGCACGCGCTCGGGCTGCCCAACTTGCGCGAGTTGTCCTATGGCCGTGCTGCATGCAGCAGCAGCAGCAGCAGCAAAAACAGCAGCAGCAAAAACAACAGCAGCACCAGCAGCAACGCGCGCAGTCGCCACTGCAAGCGGAAGCTTTCTACAGGCTCTGGAAGCAGCAACGCTCCTCAAAGTCGCAGCCGCCGCACCAGCAGCAGCAGGGCCGGCAAGCGGCATCAAAGCAGCAGCCACCGACGCTGCGGTGAAGGAAGCAGCAGCTGCAGCAGCAGCTGCAGCAGCAAGCTTACCGCAACTGACATCCAGATAGTTTGGAAGATGCTGCAGCGATCTCTTGGCTACGTCTGCAGCTTTGACCGACTCGCAGCAGAGGCCCTAGCCCCTTTCTCTTCCGATGAAGACGAAGCAGCACCTGCTGCTGCTGCTGCCCCTGCTGCTGCTGCTATTGCTGCAGCAAACGGAAGCGAGCCCATGACAGCCGCGCGACTCAGTAGAGTTTCAGCAGCAGCGGCAGCAAACGCCTCTGCTGGTGCTGCTTCCGAGGGCGCCGACGCCGCGAACTGCAGCCGCAGTGCTTCCAACAGCAGCAGCAGAGATGGCAGGGGAAAGAGGCGCGGCGCTGCAGGCGGCGCAGCAGAAGCAGCAGCAGCAGCAGATACAGTAGCAGCGCCAGACGCAAACGCAGCACAAGCAGCAGCAAAAGGTCACCACAGCACGAGCCAGAACACCCTGACTGATCTAAGTAGACAGCACGGATCCCAGTCCAGCGACGGGCTCGCGCCACCGAGCCCACCCCCGCAGCAGCAGCAGCAGCAGCGTGCGCGTCGGCCCCGCGGCGAGCCGATTTTCTCCTTTTTGCGGGCAAAAGATTATCAGATTTTGGGGCGCCTCGAAAGCCTGCGGTGCCTGCGCAGCCGCGTTGGGCCAACAGCAACTCCAACGCCGTGGGACAGAAGGGCGGAGAGCTTCGACAGGCTTTTTATTCAGGTGCCTGTTCTGCTGCTGCTGCTGCTGCTGTTGCTGCTGTCGCTTCGACGGAGCTTGTTGCTTCTGTGCTCATGAGACTGCTTTATGGGCCGGTGGTCCGTGTCGCACGCCGTGCTACTGCTCGCTTCGCCAGTGGGGCAGTCGCCTGTTCTGCTGCTGTTTTTACTACTGCTGCTGCTACTGCTTCGGGGGCTGCTGCTGCTGTGGAATGCGTTCCAGCTGCGTCAGCTGCTGCTGCTTGGTGCTGCTGGGCGCTGCCTGCAGGGGTACGCGTGGCTGCCGCGGGTCCTGGTTCGGGGCTTCGACCTTCCGAGCTGCTGCCTGTTGGGCTGGAGGGTGCGGGAAGTAGAAATGCTCCAGCAGCAGCAGCTGCAACAGCAGCAGCTGCTGCTGCAGCAACAGAAGCGGGAAAAGGAGACACCACAGAGAGCAGGATGGGGCACAGCATCTAGCTGCCGCGACACTGAGAATGGATCCCTAAATCGATCTCAATCCCGATCCCGATCCCCGTCTTGGGACTCAACACGTTCGCGTTCGCCCTCTCAGGAGTCTGCGCTTGGCCCGACGCTGCAGCAGCAGCAGCAGCTGCAGCAGCAGCAGAAACATGCAGCCATCAGGGAAGCCGCTGTAGACCTGGCAAGGGCTTTGCAGGAGCAAAAGCCAGCAGGGCCAGCTGCCAACAACGCTGGTGCTCCGGATGCTGCTGCTACGGCAGCAACAAATAAGATAGCTGCAGCAGCAGCAGCAGCGGCAGGGGACCCGCAGCCTCTTCAGTGGGTATCGCCAGAATACAACTTCATTCGGCTCCACCTGCGCCGGCACTGCGAAGCGCCTGAGCTGCAAGAACTGCAGCAGGGGAAACCGGTGGCCTCCAAAGAGCAGCAGCAGCAGCATCAGGCGCAGCAGCAGCAGCAACAGCAACAGCACCAGCAAGAAGAGGAAGCAGCGGAGGAGGCTTGTGTTTGGGCAATGCGAGTCATAGTAGCCGTGCCTATTGGTGTCTTGCAAAACAAGTTAATTTCGTTTTCTCCCCCCCTTCCCTCAGAGAAGCAAAAAGCCATTAGCCGATGGGGCTCAGGCAGCCACAACAAAGTTATACTTATATTCAGCGAGTGGGGCTGCATGCGTTCCCTGCTACTGCTGCTGTCCCTGCCCCTGTTGCTGCTGCTGCCGCTCTTTCTGCGTGCGGCTGATTCTTCTGCTTGTGCAGCTGCTTCTATGTTCGCGGCGGCTCCCGTATGTACTGCTGCTGCTCCTCACCTGCCGGCCTGTTGCTGCTGTTGCTACTGCTGCTGCTGCAGGGCATTTTGGCTGCGCGAGGGCCAGGCGTACTTCATCAGCCCCACCTGCAGCAGGAGGTTTCAGTTCATGAGCCTCCACCAGTTTGGAGCCCCCGGCTGTTTGGTGGCTCACGGCTTCAACTCGACGAGCTGGCTGAAGGTTCGGAGAGACAGAAACAGGCGCATACGGGCATTGCTGCAGCAGCAGCAGCAGCAAGAGGAGGTGAAAAACGCACGTCAGCCGAGCAAGCCATGCAGCAGCGGCAACTGCAACGGCATCGGAACCCCCAGTACAACCATGCACCTGCCCAGCAAGCCGCGTAGCAGCAGCAGCAACGGCAGCAACTGCAACGGCATTCACGAGGCCAGTGACGGCCTCAACGGCAGCAGCAAGAGCAGCAAGGAGCGCAGCAGCAGCGACGGCAGCAGCAAATCAATGAGCCCTGGTGGCACTTGCCTGCGCATTAAGGAAGATGGGCCCGGGAGGCTGGGAGG